TGTGTGCTCGGTGTTGACTAAAACTAAGACAAGCAGCTGTTTTGTCTTTCAACAAATTACAGCGTTATTGTTGTGTGCTCGGTGTTGACTAAAACTAAGACAAGCAGCTGTTTTGTCTTTCAACAAATTACAGCGTTATTGTTGTGTGCTCGGTGTTGACTAAAACTAAGACAAGCAGCTGTTTTGTCTTTCAACAAATTACAGCGTTATTGTTGTGTACTCAGTGTTGACTAAAACCAAGACAGATGTTTTGTCTTTCAGTAAGTTACTGCGTTATTGTTGTCTACTCATTGTTAATTATAACCAAGAGTGGCAGCTGTTTTGTCTTTCAATAAGTCACAGGGTTATTGTTGGGTACTCATTGACCAGTAGATAAATCAAAACTTCCCAACTATTTTTTAGCTGATTTCCACGGTCAACTAGGAAGATTAAAAGAGAATCTAGTGCACGTGACTTGAAGAAAAATAGGACTAAATCACGGCAATGTTGTGTGTGAGGACTCTGGTAGTGAAACCTAACAGTAGAATATTTGTACAACTGTGGATACTAAAAGTTCTAGCTATTGCATTTTCTGGTTTTGTTTTTCTGATAACGAATATCGTAGCCAAGATGCTCTATAACGTAGTTCAAAACACAATTTCTAACGTCTCAAGGAAAACTGGAACACTATTGAGACATTCCCTCTTACTTAGCACCATTTCCATATATAGAAAACTTTGTGATAAACGTTTAACCACCTGTTTATGGTTTTAACTACTAATATAGTTTAAAATGCCTTGTTCGTGTAAGTATAACCAAACTTAGTTCAAACAATAGTCACTAAATACAGGACTTTAACTGCCACAGTGTAAATTCAACAATTGTTTTTGAGAAAAGGGGAGGACACGAACGAGCACCTACAGACAAGATTAAAAATCTTAATATACTCTCAAGAGAATCTAAATAAATGTTAACATTTACCTGCGCCTGCGCGAGACATTCAGTATCGACTTCTACTAAACCCCATTTTAGGTGTGTAAACCTACCAGTAGAAAGCGTGCTAGTACTAAGTGTAGCATCATATCCATATTACAATCACGTAACATCAGAAAATTCTCTTTAAAACAGTATCTTAAAGGAAGAAATCAAGTAAAATCACAACGTCTGAAGAACATATAACTTACTGAAATAAATTCGTAGTGTGCTAACAATATCTTAAATTAGATTAAATAATATATATATATATAGCGCCATCTAGTTTATTTTATTATTCTACCCAAAGTACATCATAAAGGTTTTTAACTTTTTTCCCAGGAGGCTGTGCTTTTCCTCAGTTTGATTTCTTTCGTGTTCTTACACTACTATAGAAACAACAGCAGCAGAGCGCAGAACGTGATAATCTGATAAAGCCGTGTCAATATGTGATCCTGAAGAGAACAAAAGATCCCGTATTGATCAAAGGAGAATGAATAAAGAAATTCAACTTGTATTAAAACAAAAACTATTTAATTCTGTGTACATACGAGTTTTATTAAGTCGTGGTCTACTGGTACTTCTCTAGCTTTGTGCGTTCGTGTAAAGTAACGTACAGAGTTGATGACATGTTTAATTTCTACTGTATATAGTCACAGTTTTCGAAAAGTTTAAAAATCCCAAAGACATTGGTCATGTTTAACACTTAAGTTTCGACAAATGCTTTGAAACTCAGTGCTTATCTAACATCAAATAGATTGTAAAATTAAACGGTTCTAATGATATTTTTGTTTGATCTAATTAATTTAACTAACTTATATTTTCTTGTTGAATTGATATTTATCGTGAAACAAAGCTATTTAATAGGCTATACACAATATATCCATCGCGGGAATCTAACACCAAATTTTAACACTATATAAGCTCTCAAGCTTACCGCTGAACTACCAAGTAGGACACTTCTTGTTGAACATTTTCTTGAAAATTACCTTTTTTTTATTATAACTAATACAAAACTGTTTTCTCGTTGTTTACAGTTATAGTCGAATCCACTGATCTGTTGGGGGATGACGATGATGTCATTGTTCATCTTATTTGTGTATTAAAAAAAAAGATAACCACTCACTGTCACCTATATGTATATTATTGGCTTCACAACTTCTTGCCAATAAAATCCAGAAGAGAAATAAAAACATAAAACAATCGTTTGGGATTTAGGATGTTTTGAACTTTTGACATAAACTACCCTTGGATATAGATATATTGTTTCGCAACGTAAAATTATATTTATGTGTTCAGATTAGTAATGAAACTTGAAGCACAAGCAGTGATTGAATATAACAAATCAGAATGTTGTTTTTTTTATTTCAGATACGGGGACATGGTACCCGCTACCATCATGGGAAAGGTTGTAGGTGGTGTCTGCTCCTTGAGTGGTGTGCTTGTAATCGCACTACCAGTTCCAGTTATTGTGTCGAACTTTTCACGTATTTATCACCAAAGTCAGCGAGCGGATAAACGTAAAGCACAGAAGGCAAGTAAATCGTTGATGTATGTATGGATAGAGTTTTGGTGCCATTCAACAATTATTATCGTTAATGTATATATGTATGGATAGAGTTTTGGTGACATTAAACAACATTTATCGTTGATGTATGTATGTATGTATGGATAGAGTTTTGGTGACATTCAACAACATTTATCGTTGATGTATGTATGTATGGATAGAGTTTTGGTGACATTCAACAACATTTATCGTTGATGTATGTATGGATAGAGTTTTGGTGTCATTCAACAATTATTATCGTTGATGTATGTATGGATAGAGTTTTGGTGCCATTCAACAATATTTATCGTTGATGTATGGATAGAGTTTTGGTGCCATTTAACAATTATTATCGTTAATGTATATATGTATGGATAGAGTTTTGGTGACATTCAACAACATTTATCGTTGATGTATGTATGGATAGTTTTGGTGCCATTCAACAATTATTATCGTTGATGTATGTATGTATGGATAGAGTTTTGGTGCCATTTAACAATATTTGTCGTTGATGTATGTATGTATGGATAGAGTTTTGGTGCCATTCAACAACATTTATCGTTGATATATATATGTATGGATAGAGTTTTGGTGCCATTTAACAATATTTATCGTTGATGTATGTATGTATGGATAGAGTTTTGGTGCCATTTAACAATATTTATCGTTGATGTATATATGTATGGATAGAGTTTTGGTGACATTCAACAACATTTATCGTTGATGTATGTAAGAATGGCACCAAAACTCTATCCATACATACATCAACGATAAATATTGTTGAATGGCACCAAAACTCTATCCATACATATATACATCAACGATAAATATTGTTAAATGGCACCAAAACTCTATCCAAGCAATATTTATCGTTGATGTATGTATGGATAGAGTTTTGGTGCCATTCAACAATATTTATCGTTGATGTATGAATGGATAGAGTTTTGGTGCCATTCAACAATATTTATCGTTGATGTATATATGTATGGATAGAGTTTTGGTGCCATTCAACAATATTTGTCGTTAATGTATGTGTGGATAGAGTTTTGGTGCCATTCAATAATAGTTTGCATTACTTACTACTAGAAACTTCAGGCAGCTTTCGAGTAAAACGTGGACTTCTGAGCCAAACTCAAGTGCTTCCTGAAAGTCTTCCTTCTTTAGAAGTGAAATAGGAGTGTACTATAAGGAAGATTAGCGCTGAAGCTGCAATACAGTGTTACTTTGCTATCTCTGTAATGTAAACTAATTCCCTTAGAGGTGTATAAGGTGCTCATGAGTATTTTTTTTTCATTTTTAAGAATTTCAGGACACAAAGTATATTACAAGTTCGTTGAGTTAATACTGGCAGTTTGAAGTAAATAATTACTGTTGTGAGATATAAGATTTATATTACCCTTGTGGTCATTTGTGAGGACTTGAAGAAAGTGAAATACGTTGTCCTTGGCTACAATAAGTCTAAATAGTTTAAGTACTAATAACATAATAAAATATAGCCAATTTGCAATTTGAGAAAATCTAGAGATTTTTGTAATGATTTTCTCATGAGATTCAAAATACGATGTCACTGTTTGAAAGAGAGGAATGTTTAAAGTGAATGGTCCTGATGAAGAAGTCACGGTTTAAATGACAGGAATGTTTAACATGAATGGACCTGATGAAGAAGTCACGGTTTAAACGACAGGAATGTTTAACATGAATGGTCCTGATGAAGAAGTCACGGTTTAAATGACAGGAATGTTCAACATGAATGGTCCTGATGAAGAAGTCACAGTTTAAACGACAGGACTGTTCAACATAAATGGTCCTAATCAAGAAGTTACCGTTTAAACGACAGGACTGTTCAACATAAATGGTCCTAATCAAGAAGTTACCGTTTAAATGAATGACGCTTTATGAGAATGGCCCTAGTGAAGAAGTCACAATTAAAACGACAGGAATGTTCAACATGAATGGTACTGATGAGGAAGTCACAATTTAAAACGACAGGAATGTTTTACCAGAATATCCTACGGAAGAAAAGGCAGTATAAAAACAAGAATGTTTCCCAGTTTGCCCCTGCCCCTGATGAAGAAGGGTCCACTTTTTGAAAGCACTCGGGTTATAGGTTTATGTATTTTTGTGTAGAATGTTTAACAGAATAGCCTAGATGAGGAAGTTTCTATTTAAAAGACGGGATATTTTACCGAAATAGTGCTCATGAAGAAGTCACGGTTTAAATTACAAAAAAACTTTATCAGGATGGTCCCGATGAAGAAATCACTGTTTGAATGTTTTACTAGAATAGTTCCTACGAAAATATTATATATTAAATGACGAAAATGTTTTAGAAGAATGTTCTGAATAAGTCACAACAGAAATGAAAATAATGTTTACCAGAATGGTCTTCATGATGAATTCACAGTTTAAATGAGAGGAATATTTTACTAGATTCGTCCTCATGGACAATTATAGTTTAAAGGCCAGGAATGCTCTACTAGAATGGATCTATTGAAGAAGTTACAGTTTAAATGAAAGGAATATTTTACTAGAATCGTACTCATGGACAATTACAGTTTATAGACCAGGAATGCTCTACTAGAATGGATCTATTGAAGAAGTTACAATTTAAATGAAAGGAATATTTTACTAGTATCGTACTCATGGACAATTACAGTTTAAAGACCAGAAATGCTCTACTAGAATGGATATATTGAAGAAGCTACAGTTTAAATGAAAGGAATATTTTACTAGAATCGTCCTCATGGGCAATTACAGTTTAAAGACCAGGAATGCTCTACTAGAATGGATCTATTGAAGAATTTACAGTTTAAAGGAGAGGAATATTTTACTAGAATCGTCCTCATGGACAATTAAAACTGTAACTTCTTCAATAGATCCATTCTAGTAGAGCATTCCTGGTCTTTAAACTGAGATGAGAGGGATATTTTACCGGAATAGTCCTGATGTAGAAGACACTGTATAAACAATTCGAATGTTTAACAGGATAGTGTGATAAAAAATTGACAGTTTCAATGACAGGAACTTTTTAGGAGAACGGTCCTAGGAAGAAGTCACAGTTTAAGTTACAAGAACTTTTACCAGAATAAGCCTCACGAAGAAGAAACATTTTAAATGACGAGAATATTTTATCAGAATGGTCCTGACGAAGAAGTTACTATTTAAAGATCAGAAATGTTTCACCCAAATGCATGGCGTCCAGGTAGTGAAAGTGGGCTTTTCTCGGGGTATTCCCGTTTTCCTCCCACGACAAAATTAAGGGTATTGGATCTATAGATCCCCACCCGTTGAGTTGTAATACTCCACAGTCTCACATAGTGAAAAAGACGCTTACTGTCAAACCGACTGTGGGTTTTTCGGGTTTTTGCATCCTGAAGCTCCCCCCCCCCCCGTTATGTCTAAAGAATCCTAGCTCCAATCTAGTCTTATTCTTCTGGTCATGATTTTGTTTTCTATTTTTATATTTTTATCTATTTACGTAGCTATTCCAATATATTCTTGTACAGCTCGCGGGGTGAAGAGAATTGCATTTCTGAACACTCCCGGTTTCCTCTATGAGCTCCTAGCTCTTTTCGAGTTGGTAATTCTGGAATTATACCGAAATACCTACCAAGTCTAAAAACCAAAATGCTTCTGATGAAGAGTTTATTGTTTTAAAGGAATAAATATGTTAACAGAAAAATTCTGATGAAAAAGACATACTTTATATGACAAGAATATTTACCAGAATGGTCCCGATGAAGTTGCTGTTAAAGAAAAGGAATTATCCTGATGAAGGCGTTACTGCTTAAACGACAAAAATATTTTTCCAGAATAGTCCTGATGAAGACCTGTTGGCTTATTATTTAACAAATCTCCCCCCCCCCTTTTATTTTCAGTTTGTTGAACTATCTTTAATCTTCGAACTGAATTGTTTAAACAGACTATGAATATTCATCTTAAATCACTATAGGCTAAATTGTATATCCGAGATGTTTCAAATTACGTCATATTTACCAAACCAAGGAAACCATACAAAGTAATACTTCATGGGACAAAAATTTCTTATACCATACTAGAAATATTCCCTTAAAGAAGACGTTTCTTCCTTTGTATTTCATAAATATATATATATTTGTTAAATAGAGTTTAAAATGTCAATTGAATTAGATTAATTGAATTAATATTAATTGGATTAGTCATGTATTTTCACAATAAGATGAAGGAATCGATTTTTGCTTTTTCGGATCATCAATATATTTTCAAAATTAGGTTATTTATCTATTAACAGCACTTCGCGGAAAAGACACCTGTTTTTGTCCGACTTTGAAAATGTGGTTAATTTTGTTTGTGTATAAACCAACTTTAGATTGGAAAAAAAAGCTGCTGTTGCCAAGTTATGACACTGTAAACATTTATTGCACAAGAAAAAAGTAAAAGATACGATTCTGGTCATCAGTTCCTTTTTTCTTGTCTATATAGGTATGTATTTTGATATAGGTGTGTTAAGAGCTTTTCTTGTCTATATAGGTATGTATTTTGATATAGGTGTGTTAAGAGTTTTTCTTGTCTATATAGGTATGTATTTTGATATAGGTGTGTTAAGAGCTTAAGGAATGGATACAATACATATATATGATAAAATTCGAGCAAAATTAAAACCCCAGGGCCATGAAAATGCACGTGCATGTTAACAACAATTCTCAAGGTGTCACATCATTGATATTGATTTAGCTAGCATAACTGTCATTTGAACTTTGAAGATACAGATAAGCTTGCACTTAGACGGGCTACTCTTCCGAAATTTGGCGCTTAGTATGGCGCGAATATATATATTGTTCCTTATAAAAAGGAAATCAAAGCATTCTTTTTGTTGTGGCGTGATTGGTCAGTTCCATACAATTTTAGCTGAGCATATGCTCGCGCAGTTAGAGGCAGACTACCCACATGAGTCAGACTTACATCAATTTCTGAGATAACGATCTATGTTTATTAAACAGAATAAACAACGTATTTGGCCAACTGTTAGGACAACACTGCACAGCAAGTTATGAACACTGAAGAACGAGATGAAGTTTCTGCCGGTGATACAACACATAGTGAAACATAGTCAACAAACGTGAAGCTTGCGCTAGTAATAATACTGCCGATTTGTCAACGCCAAAGGTTAGACGTCGGGGGGGGGGGGAGGCACAAGGATGTTTTTACTTGACTGTTACATAGAGCTGTCGAGAAGCTTTGGCATTTCGGATACATCCATTTGGCTGAAAGCACACCCACATAACGCGGATGAACCGTTTCCAACAGACCAGTAAAAATTCGATCAAATGTCTCATTGCTTCGTAGCGTTCATAAGATGACTGTAAACTGCCAACTATGTAGGTATAATGCATATTTTGTTTATTATATCAGTAAACTTTCTTTATGATGGGACTAAAAAAAAGCCTCCTACGCTCCACCTGAAACGTATATCTTGGTACTAAACAAACACATAATTCTTATTTTGATTTTTGCTTATATTAGCATAAATATGCGTGTTCTTAAATCAAAACAAGCAATTGATTTCTCAATCTAACGCCTTCTGGTCGTAAATATTGCTATAAATAATTAATGACTACCTCGGAAGAGGTTCCACGTTCGAAGGGCGATATCTCTATAATTAAATAGCACGTCAGAAATTTTCTTAATATATTCTTCATATCGTAAAGCGATGTGCAACGAACATAAATCTCATAGATGCAAGTAAAGTAGCACAATAAATCAATTTACAAAAGTCAGTCAAAACCTGTAAAAAAGGTGGGTTTTTACCTTGAACACAGCTTAACATTACATGACAGTAAGTTACCTTGAACACAGTTTAATATTACATGACAGTAAGTTACCTTGAACACAGTTTAATATTACATGACAATAGGTTACCCTGAACACAGTTTAATATTACATGACAGTAGGTTACCCTGAACACAGTTTAATATTACATGACAGTAGGTTACCCTGAACACAGTTTAATATTACATGACAGTAGGTTACCCTTGAACACAGTTTAATATTACATGACAGTAGATTACCCTGAACACAGCTTAATATTACATGACAGTAGGTTACCCTGAACACAACTTAACATTACATAACAGCAGAAAGAGTTTGTACAGCTTAACCTTACATAACAGTAGGAAGAGCTGAAACAGCTTAACATTACATGACAGTAGATTATCTTGAACGTTATCTTGAATATAATTACTCATTTTCTAAGAAGCCAGAAAGTTAATCTACCAAGAATAACTTCATATTCAAGATTTCTTGAAACTAAAACATTTTTGAAATGAAACAGTTAAGTACAGTATAGTAAAGAAATTAAATTAAGTCCCTATAACTTCCTGCCCGTACATTATCATTATATTATTTACGAAGGCAGTAGACTTATCCACCAAGATAAACAACAAGATCGATTAAATACATAACAGAGGCTAAAGTTTTTCTTTCTTTTCTTAAACGTCCCCCGGTGTAAAAGCGGTAAGTTTACGGATTTACTTCGGTAAGATCCGCGTTCGATTCCCCATGATGGACACAGCATGATGTGGCTTTACTCTAAAAAACAAACTTTTCTTGAAGCGTACTCACATTCACACAAGAATTTCTAATTGCTTTGGCAAAGCGAGAACGTATGGCCCTTTGCTTAATGTTAAAGTTATATTACGTCATCCGTAAGCCAAAGTTAAGTGTGTAATAGCGCATATTTTATTTGAACCCATGTTAATGGCAACTCAAAAACCCCGTGTACTTTCAGAATTTAAATGGAAGTTACAAAGGGAAATCCCAATGCCAAATAGCTTTAGAAATGTAGAAATTATTCTGGTGGAGAGAAAAAAAAGCGTGAAATTGAAAACTTCTTACAAGATGTGAAAATGCACATGTCACTGATTTCATTTTGTTTTCTTGTTTCGGGGATAATAGTGAAATTATTTAAAGTACTGAACGATCTTAAATGGGTAGTAAATTACACAACATTTTTCTTGTATGAGAAAAATATATATATTTTTTTATATTTATTATATGTAAGTGTATTGATTTATTTCCACTGATTGTTTCATCTCCATATCAGTAGATGGCAGCACCATTTATTGTATATTTGGGAATTATTCACTAGGTTTTATTAATTATCAACATACTATTAGAAATTGCTTCTCATGGTTACATAAACGATAGTTTATCTGTAACTGTGAAAATGTCATTAATCAGATTTCCAAGGCATTGATCTGATTATTTTGTAAATAGATCATAATAATAAAGAGCTATAACACTTTTTTTAAAATTGTCCTTCATACTTTCTTGATGCACAGGAAATAAAACTTGATGATTACATGAACAATTCCTTGTTGCGCTGTTTCATTTTAATTTCTGTTCTACGTTTGAAATTCGCAAAACCAGTATGGTTCATAAGTCTTGCGAATATCAGTATAATTATTTTGCATATCAATTTCAAGCTAATGTGTATAACTTGAGATTATTTTGATAGAATTATCTCTTCTATTCGTTAATTACCATAGTTTAACGAAACTTATGAACCTTATAATTATTGTTTTTCTTGTTCATTTTATTTAAATAAATGACACACCTTTAATTTGTTGGTCTAGATGTTACTTGATGTTTTAAATTAGGATTTTTATATTCTAGCTTACTTCAATGCGTTTACAGTGACAAAGAAGCGTTTATTAGGATTTTTATGCTAAAGCTGATGCAAAATAAGAGGGAATCCTCAATACCCGCGACTGTAATTAATCCTAAATCGGTCAAGAGATGCAGCTATGAGCTAAAAGTTTGTTCTTGAACAACAAAACTCAGAGCCATTCTATGAGCTGCTATAAATAACAACACAATATATTTATTTATAGTTTGGCTTCGTTTAATCTTCATTACATCATAATAGATAGTAAAAACAGTGACAGTAGTATTACTACTTGAGCACAAAGTGTTTCGATCAGATGGAATTCTAACAGGAAAAATAAATCGTTTATTCGTTCTGAATGTTATTTCAGAAATCTAGGATGGCTCGGATCCGAATTGCCAAAGCCACAAGTGGGGCAGCGTTTGTTAGCAAGAAGAAAGCAGCCGAAGCCAGGTTGGCTGCCCAAGCTAGCGACAATTATATCGAAGAGAACGATGAAGACATGTTTGAATTACAGCACCATCATCTCCTCCGCTGCCTGGAGAAAACCACGGTTAGAGCCCTTTGTATTGTATAGAATGTAATTAAAGATGGACGATTTAGTTACGTATAACATATTTTAATTTTATATGTAAAATTAAACATCAGCTGTATATACATTAATACTTCCATCACTCAACAAAAATTCCTTTTTTAAGTAAAATCTATAATTTTACATTACATTGATTCGCTTGTTTCTATTTGTACTGTTTATATATATTTTTGGTTTTTCTGGTCTGTAGCAACGTGTAAGATGGACTGAGTGCAGCCCACAGGTTAGCGTGCCAAACCGTGTGGTCAGTATTGTAGTTCGCGTCCGGTTATTACACAAAAATAAACTGCGCTCCGCAGTTTGTGGTCATAGATACGTTGTAAGAGTGATGGTCAAATCCGAATACACGATCTGACAAGGGTATCCCAAGAGTTAGCAGTGGGTGCTATTGACTAACTGTCTTCCATCTAGTCTATTACTTCAAAATTGGGGACTGCTAACGCTGGTATCCCTCGCGGATCTTTCCATAAAATCTAAAAAAATAATCACCTTGTAAGGTATCAACTTACTATTGTTACTTCGAGGCATGTCCATATTGTTAGGCGTGTAGAAATGGGTTTTAGGAATACCCGTTTTATATTTGTTTTGGAAAGAACCAAAACCCTGCCCGATTTCATAATGCGTTCACATATATAAAAAAATAGCTAATATTTGTATTCGTGTAAGACTCGATTCCTTTTTATTAACCTGAAACGATTTGTAAAGGTTGTTTTAATTTTATAGTCAAACTGGATTATTTCCGACGTACTTCGATACTACTTTTATTTCATTGATACGATTAGTAATTTACTTTCGACAGCAACTAACGGGTTCCCCGATGGGACAGGTGTAATTCTACGGAATTACAACGCTAAAATTCGAAGTTCGATTCCCCGAGGTGAATAGAGCAGATAGTCCAATGTGGCTTTGCTTTAAAAAACAAACAAACAAGGCAACTAACGGAGACTTTAGGAGTTTAACGATATTTTCACAAGTGGCACAGAATAAAAATTATGTGAAAACATTATTTATGAGTATCCCTGTGATTTTCTTTTCCTCGAATCTGTGTTTATAATGACTTTTTAGGCCCAACTATGTCAGATTTTTTTTACCTTTAGATTAGGCCCGATCCGAGTTGGTGTAAGAAAACCTTCTATAAACCTGACGAAATCTGAGCATAACCAAATCTCTTTAAGCTTGACTATGTTCGTAAAAAAAAAATAATAATAATAAAGAGACCAAATTTCACCCTGCCCGATTTCTTTGCCTAACTAAATATTTTGGTTGAAATCAATAAAAGTAACAATGTCCAAAAAAAATAATTTGCTAAAGTTATTTTAATCAAAACAGAACGAGGTACATTGCACCTGCTTCTTCCATGTTCTTTACATAACATTTCAAGTTTCCAAAACAAAATTCCCTACCTTTAGTGTCCCGATTTCTGCTGTGTGGTCAAGGATCATTTGCAGCATATTCTGACTTTATTATTGTTTCATTTAATGAAGAATTGATTTATTCCATTCTCGTTGCAACACAACGTAAATGAAAATTTGCCGATACCAAGCGTTTTTGTAAAGTCATCGTACAGCTGATTCTTGCGAGTACACGCAAGCAAAGCAAAAGATATGGCTGAAGCAACGCTATTTAGTTGAGGGAGTGTTCGCGGATGTTCGAGAAGAAAGTACCAGTCTTTTTCAGTTAGGGGGAGTTAGAGAGTAGACATGTATGTGTAAAAAAAAGAGAGAGGGAGGAAAAGAGCAGAGAAGCAAGTGAAGGCTGCACAACGTTTTTAGATCGTTTTTACACATAACTGATCATGGATAGAATGATTAGGAGAAGTCCTCACACAGAGAAGAAACGTAAATAATAGCCCTCTTGAACACATATTACCAAAAAAATCCGGCCTTTTTAATTTGAGACCAATTGGTCGTACGGTTTGCCAAAAATTGCTATATTGATCACTTTGGCCTCTGAGGCCGCGGCCACTTACCCCAAGTTACTTTGCACAAAGTTGTATCTACACCCGGAGTCTGTACCTTTAAAGGTGCGTAAGGAACATATCCACAGAGAGAAAGATATGCATTCGCGCTTACATATATATATATATATTTCTACTGCTTTCTCTGTTATTATTGATTCATATATGATTGTTCATGAAAAAGCCTGATTTGAAAGTCCAAACTATTTGACCTGATATTACCTTAAAAATAATTTCTATAATGATATCTAAGAACACGCAGTAAGTGTCAATGATAACTATAATGATATCTAAGAACATATAGAGAATGGCACTACTTACTATAATGATATCCAAGAACACCCAGTGAGTGCCCCCGCTTTCTATAATAATATCTAAGAATACACAGTAAGTGACACGGCTTTCTATAAGGACACCTAAGAACACAGCAAGTGGTACTACTTACTATAATATCTAAGAACATATAGAGAATGGGACTGTTTATTATGGTGATATCTAAAAACACACAGTAAGTGGCACGGATTTCTAAAATGATATCTAAGAACACACAACAAGTGGGACTGCTTACTATAATGATATCTAAAAACACACAGCAAGTGACACTGCTTTATAAAATGATATCTAAGAATGCATAAAGAGTGGCACTGCTTACTATAATGAGATCTAAAGCAATCTATAATGATATTGAGCATATGTTAAGTGTGTCATTTTTATCTTGATATCAGATCTTCCTTTTTTCTAGGACCGAGAATTTGTGGAAGTAGACGTATCACATCAAATTCAGTCTAACAGAGCTTCCTTCTCGCCGCCTCCGTCTCCTGTTCCTACAATAGCTTCCCAAAAAAGCCGTATTTTCTCTTCATGTTGTGGGAGACGATGTAACCGTAAGAAATATCTGGTAAAAAACAAACTTCAAGGTTACATTACAGCTTAAAGATCTTGTCCAAACACTTCTTTCCAAAATCAACATAAATATATATATATATATAATACTTATAACATTAGCAATAATTTCTTTGTTAATTTCTCTGCAAATTACAGTTAATATTCTAAGAAGGTACTCGAGTTTACGTATTTCCATCGTCATTAATTGAATTGGATTATCGTATCAGGGATATATAAAATTATTTCAGTCAAAATTGTTGTATATTAAAATGTTATTCCTAGATTTATTTCGCTTTTTCCTATATCATCATTGTTGGATTATTAATCAGAAGAAATAAAGGTCGCTACAGTTAATCTTATTCATAAAAATGTTATATATAAATTGATTTCTGAACTTTTTTATTTCTATTCTTATATCCTTAATCAAGGAAAATATAAGCTGTTTCAATAAAATTTCTTACATAAACCAATGGTTCATCAGTATTGATTCGGGTTTTATATCAGGATAATTACAGATAATAGTTTTACTTAATAACGAATAATTTGTTGGGGTTATATAGTTGTTTGTTTGTCTTTTTGTACTCATATCATTCCTTCACACAGATGGTCCAGTTAACAGATTAAGTTAGATTATTAGAATTATTCAAAGAGTTTAATTTCCCTTTACAAACTCACGTTTCTTCACTGTTTTGAAATTACAAAGTAAATTAGATGTCATTATTAATTAAGAATTAAATATATCTTCAAACTCAAAACAAGTCCCCCGGTGGGACATCGGTAAGACATAGGATTTACAATGCTAAAAATCAAGGGTTCGAATTCCCTCGGTTGACACAGGAGATAGCTAGATGTGGCTTTGCTTTAAGAAAACACACCCAAAAAAATCTAAACGCACGCTCCCCAGTGGTACAGCGGCATGTCGGCGAACTTATACTGCTGGAAACCGGGTTTTGATACCCGTGGTAGGCAGAGCATAGATAGCCTTTTGTTTAGCTTTGTGCTTAATAACAAACAACAACATCTGAACGCACACGTACGTGTTTTGTTAAGATATAATTTGTTTGGATTATATCATTCATGCCTATATAAATATGTTTATTTCAAGTGTGATTATCATGTAAATAATTAGCAAGCTAATATTCATCAACCAAACATTTAATCAAAATAATAAGTTCGATTTTATACATTTTACTACCATGGTTACCAACACGAATTAACCATTGAACTCAGGCAACCCCAAGAGTGAATAAAATAAACTGTATCTAAGTGTAGGATAGCAGAAATATACATAAAATACTTATTCGTAAGTAGGCCTAAATTAATTACCATGGGTTAACTTAAAAAACTCGTCAATATAACTGCTGTCTAAAATTTAACTTTTTAGCAGTAATGTATTTGAAACTTCAAAGGCTTATCATAATAAAGGACTTATAATTTAAAACAAGCTACAGATGATTAATTATTTATCAATTACATTACTCTAGCTGCTACCATTAACAATGGTTTGACCTTAATTCCAGTAACCTTTTCCAATTCAGAAAAGCTTATGAAATTTAGGTTAGGCCTAAACCTATTTATTAAGCACCAATGCAAAACATTAGTTCTATAAATATTCAATTATTACCATTATACCCAATATTTTTTTAGATGGATATACTTTTAAAATGTAACGTATTTACTTAAAATAACAAACGTAGATATTTATATAGTATCGACAATGCATGAATCCACTGACCTCGTCCTTTTTTTTTTTTCATACGCCCAAAGATTATTAAATGCGTTAATTGTTATTACCAATACCAGATCCTACCGCAAAATTCAAATAATTGTTCACTTAACTTGCTAAAAGAAAAAAAAAATGTTTTCATTAAGTTACACTTGAAGTACAACTTGGCATTTAAGGTGAATTACCTGATCAATACGAAATGTGTTGTTCACATTTAATAGAGATCGTATTAATAATAAAATTATCAATGCTTAGAATCTCGGAAAACTTAAAACGTGTGACATCTGGTGAGATATTCTAAAAATATGTAAAAAAATCTTTCCGTTTATTTTTTATGCAGCCTTTAAACTCTAGAGGTAATTTGTTTATGTTTAGAATATAATCTTATATATATAAATATATTAAATCCTCTTGAAAACAACAAGAAGGCTAAAACAGCAGTAAATTAAAAAACAAAAATTATAAATATATTGTTTGTTTATTTGCTTTGAATTGCGCGCAAAGCTACACGAGGACTATCTGCGATAGCCGTTCCTAATTCAGCAATGTAAGACTAGAGGGAAGGCAGCTAGTCATCACCACCCACCGCCAACTCTTGGGCTACTCTTTTACCAACGAATAGTGGGATTTACTGTTACATTATAACGCCCCCACGGCTGAAAGGGCGAGCGTGTTTGATGTGACGGGGATTCGAACCCGTACCCGCAGATTGCGAGTCGAGCGCCCTAACCACCTGGCCATGTATAAATATATATGTGTCTGTCTTGTTCAAAAAATCTCATTACAAATTTGCTTGCCAATTAGACAAGTGAAAAATTACCACGCGCAAGAAACATTTTTATGGTTTCAATATCACGTAAAGCTA